GGAAATGCAAATCAAAACAACCCTGAGATTCCATCTCACACCAGTCAGAATGGCTAAGATTAAAAACTCAGGTGATAGTAGATGCTGGCGAGGGTGTGGAGAAAGAGGAACACTCCTCCATTGTTGGTGGGACTGCAAGATGGTGCAACCACTTTGGAAATCAGTCTGGCGGTTCCTCAGAAAATTGGACATAGCATTACCCGAGGATCCAGCTATACCACTCCTAGGCATATACCCAGAAGATGCTCGAACATATAACAAGGACATATGCTCAACTATGTTCATAGCAGCCTTATTTATAATAGCCAGGAGCTGGAAAGAACCCAGATGTCCTTCAACTGAGGAATGGATTAAAAAAATGTGGTATATTTACACAATGGAGTATTACTCAGCTATTAAAAACAATGAATTCGAGAGGTTCCTAGGTAAATGGATGGAACTAGAAATTATCATCCTGAGTGAGGTAAGCCAATCACAAAAGAAGACACATGGTATTCACTCACTGATTATTGGATATTAGCCTAGAACCTTGAAATGCCCAAGATGCAACTCACAGGCCACATGAAGCCCATAAAGAAGGAAGACCAAGTGAGGGTGATTCGGTCCTTCTTAGAAGGAGCAACAAAATACTCAAGGGAGCAAATATGGAGACAAAGTGAGGGACAGAAACTGAAGGAGGGGCCGTCTCAAGACCACCCCACCTGAGTATCTATCCCATGTGCAATCACCAAAGGTAGATGCTGATGTGGAAGACAGGAAGTGCATGCTGATAAGAGCCTGATATGGATATCTCCTCAGAGGCCTTCAAGAGTCAGACATATTCAGAGGCAGATGCTCACAACTAGCCATTGAACTGATCATGGGGTTCTCAATAGAGGAGTTAGAGTGAAGACTTAAGGAGCTGAAAGGGTTTGTGGCACCATGAGGAGAGCAACAATACCAACCAACCACAGCTCCCAGGGTCTAAACCACCAGCCTGGGAGCACTTAGGGGGGGATCCAGGGCTTCAGCTGAATATGTAAAAGTGGAGGGCCCTGCTGGGCATAGGTGGAAGAAGAGAACCTTGACCTCATGAAGGCTGGATGCCCCAGGGGGTGGGAATTTTGAGGGTGGGGAGGTGGGAGTGGGGGGGTGTAGATAGAGGTTACATCCACAGAGAAGAAGGAGGAGGGGCGAGGGGATTGGGGGTTCCGAGGGGGTGGTGGGGGATGGGGTAAGGGGACAACATAGGAAATGTAAATAAATCATCCAATAAAAAAAAAAAAGAAAAAAAAATTTTAAAACCACATATGCAAGGAATAAACCCGAGGAATTCAGATTCAAAAAAAAAAAAAAAACAATACTTCTTCCAAAGTCTCAAATAGTTTCACATGTGACTTTAATTTTTAATCCTATTTTTAATGATGGTTCTTAAAAGCTTTAACCTTCCTTGTAGCCCACCACCCACCAGAGGTAGTGGAAAAGAAGAGATATAGAGGAAGTGGACGTGTTCAGAAAGGTTCTTTGGAGCAACTCCCATCTGTGTTGTCTGGAAAATGGCAGTTCAGTTCACAGGTTAGTAGGCAGTGATGGCTTGATCCACTAGCAAACGCTTCACTGATACACCAGCAGTCCAGTTTGGTAGAGTCTGGGTAGCAACAGTGGTGGCAGGACCTAGCAGAGACAGCCAGGCCTCAGCCTCAGCTTTAGTCAGCAGGAGGGACCAACAGGAACATCAGAAGTTCTGGGCTGTGCCTTTCTCAGGGAAGTGAAGATCAGCAAAGACTTAAGACCCATAAGCTTGTCCAGCTAGCTCTATAAGCAAGCCAAGTTCTGTTTCTGTCACTCCACTGAGTCCTACTTATACCATCCAAACATCATGTGTCCTCCATGGGTCTTTCATCAACATGGGTCTTGCCTCAACATATGTTTCCAACCAACTCAAGTCTGCAGAAGTGGCAAGAAACTACAGCACGCCACAAGAAAATTTTTGGTGCATTTCTCTCTACGGAGTTCGGACAAATGGACCTCAACTACATAAGGTAGACTAGTACATGCATGTCATTAACAAAGAATCCTCATCACGTGTCCCTTCACGTGCTTGCTTTAGCAGAACATCCTCTCTCCTGTGTCTGCTTCAACAAAACGTTCCTTCACGAGTCTGCCTTAGTCTTTCACATGGCTCCACTTCAATGAGACATTCCTTCACGTATTTGCCCTAGCAAAATACCATCCAACCGACTTTCCAAAGAACTCTTCAGTTTGCACTTCACACAGTCCTTGGAGAACAAAGTCCGATCCCTTTAGCTTGTTAATTAAGACTTTCTATACTTTGGACTCAGTCTGTTGCTCAGACTTACCTTGTCCAACCTCCCCTGTGCCTGGCTCCACATGAATCTTTACTTCAACCAGTTTGCTTTCTGTGTTGGCCATTGCTAATTCTGAATGTACTATATATTGCTGTCATAACCCATTTCCTTCCACTCTGCCAGCCATCTATACTCCTGAATATTTCAACAAATGTGTTCAATACTTCTCATAAATGTCAAATATTGAAAACCAGTTCCCAAGAGTATCTTAATATCCAACCTCTTTGTTTCCCACATTTTTACAGATGGCTTCTCCATATTTCATCCTCCATAGAAATCCTATAGCTACTATTATTTTTGAGATAATATAGCCCTACTCCCCTGCCCTGATTACTAAAGCACTTTCTGCCCATATCATTTATTTAGGCATAATTAGGTACTATTAATACCAAACTGATTCATTTCCTTAAGGTATTGTATGTCTTCACATATACAAGCTAAATTTTTGGAAGCCAGGATTTTACAGCTTCTCAGGCTTCCCCTACTCCCCGTATTTCCCTACAAAGATCAGTGGTGCTGATATTTTAGTTTGAGGAAAGTTTAAAAAAATATGCAGTATTTTGTATTAATTCTTTGCACGTTTCATGCCATGTATTTTGATCATATTCACATACCTCAACTCCTTTCTATAGGTTCTCTAAGGTCCACCCTCCATTTCTCCCAAAATGGGAGAATCGTATCCTCTTAAAACACACACACACACACACACACACACACACACACACACACACAATCAGTTCAAGTTCTATGTAAGCAACTTAGACTCAGATCCAAATGAAAAATAAAAAGAGGTCTAAAGATATAGGTCAATGGTAGAGTGCTTGCATAGCATGTCGAAAAGCCCTAGGTTGAATATCTACTACCAGGCTGGATATGTAGCTCAGTTGACATGACGTTTGTGCTAGCATGCATGAGACCCTGGGTTTGATTTCCAGCAATGTCCCAGCATTCCAGAGGCAGAAGGCACTGAAGTCGGAGACTTGAGGCCAGCCTGAAATACAAGAGACATTGCCTCAGAAACAAAAATAAAACGAATACAGAAGGCTATGGACACGGTAGTAAATTGCGGTGGGCTGGAAGAGCTTTGTTTATATGAATCGTGGTGCTCTGAGAGAGTTGTACTATTTTGTTTTGTAAATAATTTGTTTGTAATTGTGCGGAGCAATTTATTGTGGAAACACAGAAGCCTATTCTTTCCCAATTACATTATTTTTTAAATAATAAATGTTATTTATTTACTTATTTATTTATTTAATGTTTAGGAATGCACTGTAGCTGTCTTCACACACACCAGAAGAGGGCAACTGATCCCATTACAGATGATTGTGAGTCACCATGTGGTTGCTGGGAATTGAACTCAGGACCTCTGGAAAAGCAGTCAGTGCTCTTAACTGCTGAGCCATCTCTCCAGCCCCCAAGTACATTATCTGACATCAAAAAATAAAATTCCATAATTACAGTCTAAAAACAGAATGTGCATGCGTGCAACTAATATTGACAGGCAATCTAACTTTGGAGCCTGGCATATTGAAAGACTTGCGACTTTTCTTTTTTTCTTTCTTTTCTTTCTTTTTTTTTTTTTTTTTTTTTTTGGTTTTTTTCGAGACAGGGTTTCTCTGTGTAGTCCTGGCTGTCCTGGAACTCACTCTGTAGACCAGGCTAGCCTCGAACTCTCGAACTCAGAAATCTGCCCGCCTCTGCCTCCCAAGTGCTGGGATTAAAGGCATGCGCCACCACCGCCTGGCCAAGACTTTAAAAAAAAAAATGTTTGTTTTGTGCTGTTTCAAAGCCACTACTTATCCATTTACTAACCTTAACACAGCTGTTAGCAAGAATATAAATTAAACAGGATTTCAAAGACTATCGGTTCAGAGAAAAGTTCACGAGATTAAACACCACTATAACAACTTGTTTCTGCCAACAAAGCAGCGGGACAACGTTCCAAGTGGCAATGATCATTGACAATTATTTATGATTCTTCTTCCGACTAACCACACAAAACACCGGACAAACTGGTTTAATCTCCTTGTTAAAATTAGAGGTTAGATTGTAAAGGCCCGTCAATCAGTATTCTTCGTGACAGGAATGTGGGTAGAAATGCACTACAAGAGAGATCCGAGGGTTTCCAGTCTTTCCGTCTCCATCTGGAAGCTCATGCATCCACAAAAAATTAGAAAGCGCCGGGGTACTCGCAGTGAGGTAAAGTACTTATAATTCTGACAGGCCTCAAGCCTTAACACAGCGGACCCATCTGGAAGGAAGGCGCACAGCATACTGGGATTTGTAGTTCCGTATCCTTTTGCTACCCGGTTGAGTGGGCATTCTGGGATGTGTAGTTCTCAGGTCGTTCGTTTGAGTAAATCCGTTCCTGACTAGAGGGGCGGTAAGTGACTCCACTGCCTCCTGAGCGTCACGTGACTTCAGTCCCGCACGCCTTGAGTTCGCACTGCGGCTCCAACCCGGGCGAGTTCTCGTCCCCCGCGCGGCCGTTGCCGAGGAGACGGCGCTCGTCTCGCGGAGCGTTGCGCCCCCCCCTCCACTCTCTCTGCAGTTCCCCCGCCCCCTTCGTCTCCCACCACAATGAGGTCCTAAGATGGCGGTGGCTGCGGCGGTTGGCGCCTAGTTAGCTAATGTAGAGAAGGCGGCCATTTGGGCTTTGGGCAGTCAAGGGAACTCGTGGGCCTCCCTTTACGCGGTCTTCGAGGAAGAACCGCTGCTGGTGGCGGCTCCTGGAGGAGCCGGCCGCCACTCTGCCCTTGGCAGGAGGGGCGGCTTCGTTTACAGGTAATGTCTGCAGGGCCGCGGCCCTTGGCAACCGAGGGCTGGAGAGCCGGGTTGGTGCAAGGCGGCCGCCGTGCTGGACGCGGCCTGGGGCCACGCCTGCTCGTTTACCTCTGAGGTCGCTTGGCTGCGCGATCTCCTCCCCACCCCCCGTTAGGCTGACATCGGGTCCTCTCGACCCTGACTGACACCCTAGCTCTCTGGTGAGCGTCTGGGGATACGCCGGCGCCTCCACGATCCTGTGGCAATCTGAGGACCGCTCCCGCGGTGCTCGAATTGGTCCCCTTCAGGGTAGGGGGGAAGCTGGCTTGTAGTTTGGGTGATGAGTTCGGAAAGAAACAGGCCTTGGCGGCCTGAGGCCCAGTGCTCGCCCTCCCTCCCAGCCCACCCGCCAAATTCCATCCTGGGAGGCCCCCGGCGGCCCGAATCCTCCTGGGTGCGGAGCGTCTGCGGCCGGGGAGTTTCTGCCATCGCTTTTTTTCTTGGAGCAGAAAGGCCCCCGGTAGGCGTTCCTGACTCCAGCTAGTAGGTTTCTCCCTAAGAAAATGTTAATTTAATAATCCTTCTCCGCGCTCCTCCCACTGCCCCCTTCTCCACCCCTGCGTGAAGATCCAGTTTCTTTACGTCTAGAATCGGGGGGTCGGAGTGGGGGGTCGAGGGGCAGGGAGGGCAAACGAGATGTCCCCGGGATTCTGGCAGCATGGCTTGCTTTGCAGAAACTGCTGTTAAGGATTAGGTGTTAGGCCCCTGTAGGTCGCCTACTGGAACCAACTTTTCCTCTCGCGGCCCGCTCCAGCCGCAGCTAGCCTTGTCCAAAAACCAAACAAAACACAACGTTTCCCCCCCCCCCCCTTCTTTCATGACGGTTTTAGGATTTGTATTGTTGTGAACTGCGGGTAACAGATCGTGTTTTGGCGCTTAGAAGAAGCGGGCTTCCTGGGTGACCCTACCACCCTCGCCCCGTAACCGCTTTCCAGGCCCCGCCTTCTGTGTTCTCTGGTTACTAGAGCCGGTGTTAAAGAGATTCTTGTGCACCTGCTTCTGCCTTTCCCTATCACCTTCCTGGTCAGGGCCACGGGCTGGTGTCGTTAATACTGAGTTTCGAAGTTGAAGGTACACCTCAGTAAAGGTAGTGAAAATTCTTATGCATAAGACTTCTTTAAAAATAGAGAGTAACAAGTTCTTGAATAGTTTGAGTAACAGGGATTTAATGACCTTAATCAGGAGAGTAAATTCTCTTCAAGTGTCTTTAAATGGCAATTGGGGGCTATTTTCATTATATTCCAAAGTGTGTCTTATATCCAAATTGTTTGGAAGGCTCTTAGAGACTTTGGTTATCTAAACATCTTTGTTAATGTAAATTGAGTTTAAAATTGTTTATAAATTACATATTTTTAATTATCTGAAACATTTAGGTCATAAATTTAGTGTTTGTTTTCACAGTATAAAGCACAAGAATTTACTGGTGGCTTTTTTTTTTTATAAGCAGACAATTGGTTTGAACTGTGGAACAGGAAAATTTGTTTCTAAACAGGTTGACACTGTAGTATGTTAGTTTCATATGTATTAAAGTTGGGAACACTTTATACTGGGGTATTCGATCTCAAAACTGGTGCAGGATTGAAAGGTCTACTTACTAAGCAAACACTTTGGGTATGCTGCCTTTTCACCGACCATTTTGGTGTGTCTTCATTCTTTGTTAGAAGAGGTCTGTGCCATTTCTACTAGCTAAATAAGAAGATGATTTATACAGTATATTCTGGAATTCCTTTGTCTTTACAATTTTTTTTTTAAATCTCATTTGAGTTTGAATTGTCATATGACAACTATTTGGGTAGCCTCTCTTCCTAAATCCATTTTCTCTCAAGTTATGGCCTTCCACGTTTGTTTTTTATCTGGCTTTATCTTTCTTTCCTGATCTTTTCTGCTTTCTTAAATTTGTTATACCAGCAACTGACAGGCATTAGTTATCTGAAATTACCTTGAACATCAGTGGGGGTAGTGCCTTGTCGCATAGAAGTTAGTATTGGGACGTAAGAGTTCAGTTAAAGTTAAAAGAAATCGTGAATGGCTGTGTAGAAGATAAATGGCTAGGGCCAGCATAATAGAGTAGTTGCCTAGCATGTATTATTTGCTCTCCAACACCAAATAAACAGGGATGATGGTGGATGCTTGTAAAAATCCCCTCATTGGGTATAGTAGAGGCAGGACAGGAGGTTCAAGGTTATTCTTGGCTGGCCAAGTTCACGAAGCCTGGGATGTATGAGATGCTGTATAAAAATGAAGAGATATAATAGCTAAAGGATGAAATAGATATTTTGTTTAAAATATTTTAGAAGTAATTGATCTTTATTGTATATGCATGTATGCATTCATGCACGCATCTATCTTCAGAAGGAATATGAAGTTCCTTCTCCCATGCTGCTATAAGAAAAGCCAGGCAAGTGGCATAAACCTGTAGTCCCCAGGAGTTGGGTAGCTGAGACAGGAGGATCAGGAATTTGGGCTAGCCTGTCTTATATAGCTATACCCAATCTTGAAAAACAAATCATACACATATTATTTGTGTGTTTTGTCTGGATGTATGTATATGCACTATCTCTTTGCCTGGTTCCAGCAGAACTCAGATGAGGGTGTCAGATTTCCCAGGACTAGAGTAAAAGAGGGTTGTGATCAAAATGTGGGTACTGGGAATGAAACCTGGACTAGCCCAGAAACTCTTTGTGTTTGAAACAGGGTCTCATATACCCCCTGGCTGGACTCGAATTTAGTGTGTAGTTGAGGAAGACCTTGATTTATTTGTGCCCACCTCCCAAACACTAGGATTCCAGGTGTGTGCTACCATGACCTGCTAGAAATCTTATTGTTATAATTGTTTAATTTATTCTTGGTTCCTATGAAAGCAAACAAATATTTAAACTCCCTTATGAGGATCAGAAGTGAGACTGTTACGCAGAACTACAGACTGGTAGTTGATTTGTATCTCAATTGCAGGTCTCAGTGTTTCTGTTTTTTATGCTGGAAGGTTATAACAAAACAGAATAGGAAAAAAAATGGAACTTAGAAAAAGTCAGATGTGTTTAATGCTAAATGATTGCCCCGGCCCTCGGGGATTCAATGAGACCTTAGGGAAGGGGGCAAAAGAATAAAGGGACAAGAGATACAAGGAATGAGAGCAAGTCTGTGGTTCTGATCAAGCTCTGAGACTTTAATTTCGGGTGCAAGTTATAAAGACACAGCAAACCAGGAAGTTTGTGCGAGGGTCGGCTATTCCACTATTGAATGCTTATTGCCCTAGACCATCCCACTGTCATATGCTTACTGTCCTAGACCATCCCATTGTCCAAACCAGCTCCTAGGAAATGCCAAGCATTCTTTAAGTTCCTGGGGCCTGAGACCTGTGAACGTCCTTTCTTAACCTTGTACTGACTAGGCTTTCTAGAACAGCAGGTAACTTCATAGGCTCGCTTAGGACAGCAGGTAGTTTCCTGGGTTTGGCTTCCGGCAAATGATTGATTGCATTGTGGTTGACATTTTGTGAGATAAGAAGAATTACACTTATAGTAAAATAATTTTACTAAAAGGAAAAATTAGGAAAGATGGATAAGAGGAATGAAAATACAGAGTAACTGACTTAATTCACATGGGAAGACTTGGGTTTTTCTTGGTGAGAATTGCCCCATTGTAAAGGAGCAAATATCAGCTGTGGTGGAAAACCCAGAAAGGGATAGTGAAGGACATGTAACAGTAACTTTTATTCTCCTGAAGTAATTGTGGTCTCCAAGGCTCTACTTGGCCCCAAACTAACTAGCAATCTGTTCTAATCTTCTGGCTCATTCTCATTCTCTGGCTTGTTCTGTCTTCCCCTGTGTCTAGCTTGTTCTCTCTTAACCTGTTTCAGTTAAACTCTCCTGGTAAAAGTCTCCTTCCTTTCTCTTTCTGTACTGCTCTCTGTTAAGTAGCCTCTCTTTTTTTCTCTCCATGAGAGTTGGATATATCCTATTCTGACAAATCTTTCTCTGATTTGTCACTTTGTCACTCAGTTAGATATAATTTTCTTTTATTTTCTTTTTCTTTTTTTAGATATAATTTTCAAGCATGGGTATTTCTTCTACAACTAACTTTACCTTCCTTGTTCAGGAGTAAAGGTGTGTGCTAAGAGCTGAGCCATACTACAAGTAGAAACAGGTTTTTCCAGTAAATAACACAATCTCGGGGTTCACGGTGTGAACAAACATCCTGCAACAGTCATATTAGGGAATTTTGTATGAAGCTAACAGGCAATGCATAGCAATACATTCATTTTATAAATTTGAGTGCTTTTAATGTATTATGTATTGACAGATGTTTGGGGATGAGCCATTGAACAAAATAGACAAGATGTATTACCCCATGACAGTGCATTTATGTTATATACCAAAAGTCAAAGCAAAGGCAATATCACTTTGAAAGGGTTTGAGTAGAAGCAAAGAAAGCAGGTAGTTGGTTTTCTAGAGTTAACAGAAGGAGCAAATAGAAAAGTTAAGGAGGACTAAGACATTCTTGTAATATATTACTTGGTTTGGGGTAAGAATGTAAAAGATTAAAAGAGAAGGGAAAGAAAGTAATGGAGGGAACTGGAATTATTCAGACAGGTCAAGAACAGCTTCAGCATAATTTGGCCATGATATAGTAGAATGCAAGAAGCAGGATCAGTGAGGAAGTTTAAGTTCCTGACCTTGAACAGATTACCAGTTCAGACTGAAAGAGGTATTGGAATGAGGAAGATAAATAGATGTTGGAATTGAGTCTAGACTCTTAGAAAAATCATATACATACACAGTTCATAAAAGTAGGGAATGGTGGTGAAAACTAGGAGTCACTGTTACCAAGGTTAGGTTTGAACAAAATGATGTACAAGGTGGGTAGTAGTTTTGATGTGTATTTTTTTTAGATTTATTTATTTATTTTATGTATATGAATACACTGTAGCTGTATTCAGACACACCAGAAGAGGGCATCAG